CGTCAGGGGCAGAAAGTCCGCCCGCCGGTCCACACCCTGGAGAAGTGGTACCAGTGCGACGTCTGCCACAGAAGTTTCAGACACCGCGGGAACCTCAATGTGCACATGCGCACCCACTCGGGCCTGAGATCCTACCTGTGTCCCCAGTGCCACCTGGCCTTCTGCCAACTGGGGACCTTTAAACGCCACCAAAGGACACATGTCAAGGAGGCGCTCCAGGCCCCTTCTGACCCAGAAGGAAAGTAACGGGTCTCCTATGATGCAAACATGGCCTATGAGCACTTAGGCAGACGGGGGTCTATGAATTAGAATTGGGGTCCTTGAGTAATTACTCATGCTCCCTATTGGCCCCCTACTCTGTGTCCGTCTTGCTGTTTGTTTCAATAAATATTTCATGGTTCAACCCTTATTCCTTGTTTGTCCTCTGTTGTCCTTTATTTTATGTAAAATAGGGAGGTCCCAGGAGAGTGGCCGGATGCCCTACAGAATACCCAGTGCCATGTGGATGTCAGATACATCACACTTTTTATTTTCTAAAAAATACATATATTTGTATTGATTTCAGGGCGGAAAGCAGAGGGAAGTGAGAGATGGACACATCAATGATGAGAGAATCATGGATCGGCTGCCTCCTGCACGCCCCCTACTGAGGATGGAGCCCGCAACCCGCACATGTGCCCTTGAATGAAATTGAATCTGGGACCCTTCAGTCCGTAGGCTAAAGCTCTATCCACTGAGCAACACCAGCCAGAGCCAAACTATTGTTTAGATGTGTTCTGAATTATTGCTTTATCTGACATTGACATTTTCACTGAGCATCGTGTTTTGAGAGAGAGAGAGAGATTGGTTGCTCCCTGTAGGCACCTGGACCGAGGATTGGTCCAGGCTTGTGCCAGGACTGGGAATGGAACCAGCAGCTTTTTGCTGCACAAGATGATGCTCCCGAGCTTGGTGGACACACCCAGGAATAAGGGTTTGCCAGGTGCGGGGTGTGGCTGCCCAGGGGGTTCTCCTGTTCGGTGGACTCTGCTGGTGTGTCTTCCTCCTCTTGCCCTGGGGCGTCAGCCTCAAGTGCAGCCGGACAGGGGCCTCCTGTCGGCTCTCGGCTCTTCCCGGGCCGGGCCGGCCACCAGGGGCCCCCGGGTCGGTGCAGAACAAGGTCCGGCCCAGCTCTCCCCGA